CCTGACAGGGATTGGGTCAGAGATTGTATAGCAGGGTGTGTGGACCCTGACAGAGGATGTACAGAGATTGTATAAGTGTCATGTGACAGATCTGTGTACAGAGATTGTATAGTGATATTGTCCACCTGATAGGAGATTGTACAGAGATAGTATAGTGTGTCCCACCTGACCAGGAGATATTGTACATGAGATTGTATAGTGTGTGTCCCCCTGACAGGAGATTGTACAGAGATTGTATAGTGTGTGTCACCCCTGACAGGAGATTGTACAGAGATTTGTATAGTGTGTGTTCCCCTGACAGGAGATTGAACAGAGATTGTATAGTGTGTGTCCCCCTGACAGGAGATTGTACACAGATTGTATAGCAGTGTGTCCCCTGACAGGAGATTGTACAGAGATTGTATAGTGTGTGTCCTGAGAGGACCCTGACAGGAGATTGTACAGAGATTGTATAGTGTGTGTCCCCTGAAGGAGATTGTACCCTGAAGTGTCCCCAGGAGATTGTACAGAGATTGTATAGTGTGTGTCCCCCCTGACAGGAGATTGTACAGAGATTGTATAGTGTGTGTCCCCCTGACAGGAGATTGTACAGAGATTGTGTAGTGTGTGGTCCCACTGACAGGAGATTGTACACAGATTGTATAGTGTGTGTCCAAACCTGACAGGAGATTGTACAGAGATTGTACATAGTGTGTGGACCTGACAGGAGATTTGTACAGAGATTGTATAGTGTGTGTCCCCCTGACAGGAGATTGTACAGAGATTGTATAGTGTGTGTCCCCCTGACAGGAGATTGTACAGAGATTGTATAGTGTGTGTCCACCTGACAGGAGATTGTACAGAGATTGTATAGTGTGTGTCCCCCTGACAGGAGATTGTACAGAGATTGTATAGTGTGTGTCCCCCTGACAGGAGATTGTACAGAGATTGTATAGTGTGTGTCCCCCTGACAGGAGATTGTACAGAGATTGTATAGTGTGTGTCCCCCCTGACAGGAGATTGTACAGAGATTGTATAGTGTGTGTCCCCCTGACAGGAGATTGTACAGAGATTGTATAGTGTGTGTTCCCCCTGACAGGAGATTGTACAGAGATTGTATAGTGTGTGTCCCCCTGACAGGAGATTGTACAGAGATTGTATAGTGTGTGTGTCCCCCCCTGACAGGAGATTGTACAGAGATTGTATAGTAGTGTGTCCCCCCTGACAGGAGATTGTACAGAGATTGTATAGTGTGTGTCCCCCTGACAGGAGATTGTACAGAGATTGTATAGTGTGTGTCCCCCTGACAGGAGATTGTACAGAGATTGTATAGTGTGTGTCCCCCTGACAGGAGATTGTACAGAGATTGTATAGTGTGTGTCCCACCTGACAGGAGATTGTACAGAGATTGTATAGTGTGTGTCCCCCTGACAGGAGATTGTACAGAGATTGTATAGTGTGTGTCCCCCTGACAGGAGATTGTACAGAGATTGTATAGTGTGTCCCCCCCTGACAGGAGATTGTACAGAGATTGTATAGTGTGTGTCCCCCTGACAGGAGATTGTACAGAGATTGTATAGTGTGTGTCCCCCTGACAGGAGATTGTACAGAGATTGTATAGTGTGTGTGTCCCCCTGACAGGAGATTGTACAGAGATTGTATAGTGTGTGTCCCCCTGACAGGAGATTGTACAGAGATTGTATAGTGTGTGTCCCCCCCTGACAGGAGATTGTACAGAGATTGTATAGTGTGTGTCCCCCTGACAGGAGATTGTACAGAGATTGTATAGTGTGTGTCCCCCTGACAGGAGATTGTACAGAGATTGTATAGTGTGTGTCCCCCTGACAGGAGATTGTACAGAGATTGTATAGTGTGTGTCCCCTGACAGGAGATTGTACAGAGATTGTATAGTGTGTGTCCCCCTGACAGGAGATTGTACAGAGATTGTATAGTGTGTGTCCCCCTGACAGGAGATTGTACAGAGATTGTATAGTGTGTGTCCCCCTGACAGGAGATTGTACAGAGATTGTATAGTGTGTGTGTCCCCCTGACAGGAGATTGTACAGAGATTGTATAGTGTGTGTCCCCCTGACAGGAGATTGTACAGAGATTGTATAGAGTGTGTGTCCCCCTGACAGGAGATTGTACAGAGATTGTATAGTGTGTGTCCCCCCTGACAGGAGATTGTACAGAGATTGTATAGTGTGTGTCCCCCTGACAGGAGATTGTACAGAGATTGTATAGTGTGTGTCCCCCCTGACAGGAGATTGTACAGAGATTGTATAGTGTGTGTCCCCCTGACAGGAGATTGTACAGAGATTGTATAGTGTGTGTCCCCCTGACAGGAGATTGTACAGAGATTGTATAGTGTGTGTCCCCCTGACAGGAGATTGTACAGAGATTGTATAGTGTGTGTCCCCCTGACAGGAGATTGTACAGAGATTGTATAGTGTGTGTCCCCTGACAGGAGATTGTACAGAGATTGTATAGTGTGTGTGTCCCCCTGACAGGAGATTGTACAGAGATTGTATAGTGTGTGTCCCCCCCTGACAGGAGATTGTACAGAGATTGTATAGTGTGTGTCCCCCTGACAGGAGATTGTACAGAGATTGTATAGTGTGTGTCCCCCTGACAGGAGATTGTACAGAGATTGTATAGTGTGTGTCCCCCTGACAGGAGATTGTACAGAGATTGTATTGTGTGTCCCCCCTGACAGGAGATTGTACAGAGATTGTATAGTGTGTGTCCCCCTGACAGGAGATTGTACAGAGATTGTATAGTGTGTGTCCCCCTGACAGGAGATTGTACAGAGATTGTATAGTGTGTGTCCACCTGACAGGAGATTGTACAGAGATTGTATAGTGTGTGTCCCCCCTGACAGGAGATTGTACAGAGATTGTATAGTGTGTGTCCCCCCTGACAGGAGATTGTACAGAGATTGTATAGTGTGTGTGTCGTCCCCCTGACAGGAGATTGTACAGAGATTGTATAGTGTGTGTCCCCCCTGACAGGGGAGATTGTACAGAGATTGTATAGTAGTGTGTCCCCCTGACTGGAGATTGTACAGAGATTGTATAGTGTGTTGTCCACCTGACATGACAGGAGATTGTACAGAGATTGTATAGTGTGTGTCCCCCCCTGACAGGAGATTGTACAGAGATTGTATAGCATGTGTCCCCCTGACAGGAGATTGTACAGAGATTGTATAGTGTGTCCCCCTGACAGGAGATTGTACAGAGATTGTATAGTGTGTGTCCCCCTGACAGGAGATTGTACAGAGATTGTATAGTGTGTAATCCACCTGACAGGAGATTGTACAGAGATTGTATAGTGTGTGTCCCCCTGACAGGAGATTGTACAGAGATTGTATAGTGTGTGTCCCCCACCTGAGAGAGATTGTACAGAGATTGTCCCAGAGTTGTGAGAATGTAGAGTGTGTGTGTCCCCCTGACAGGAGATTGTACAGAGATTGTAGATTGTACAGAGATTGTATAGTGTGTGTCCCCCTAGGACAGGAGATTGTACAGAGATTGTATAGTGTGTGTCCCCCTGACAGGGAGGATTGTACAGAGATTGTATAGTGTGTGTCCCCCTGACAGGAGATTGTACAGAGATTGTATAGTGTGTGTCCCCCTGACAGGAGATTGTACACAGATGTATAGTGTGTGTCCCCCTGACAGGAGATTGTACAGAGATTGTATAGTGTGTGTACCCCCCCTGATAGGAGATTGTACACAGATTGTATAGTGTGTCCCCCTGACAGGAGATTGTACAGAGATTGTATAGTGTGTGTCCCCCCTGACAGGAGATTGTACAGAGATTGTATAGTGTGTGTCCCCCTGACAGGAGATTGTACAGAGATTGTATAGTGTGTGTCCCCCTGACAGGAGATTGTACAGAGATTGTATAGTGTGTGTCCCCCTGACAGGAGATTGTACAGGAGATTGTAGGAGATTGTACAGAGATTGTATAGTGTGTGTGTCCCTGACAGGAGATGACAGGGAGATTAGTGTGTGTCCCCCCTGAAGATTGTACAGAGATTGTATAGTGTGTGTCCCCCTGACAGGAGATTGTACAGAGATTGTATATAGTGTGTGTCCCCCTGACAGGAGATTGTACAGAGATTGTATAGTGTGTGTCCACCTGATAGGAGATTGTACAGAGATTGTATAGTGTGTGTGTCCCCCCCCTGACAGAGGATTGTACAGAGATTGTATAGTGTAGTGTGTCCCCCTGACAGGAGATTGTACAGAGATTGTATATGTGTGTGTCCCCCTGACAGGAGATTGTACAGAGATTGTATAGTGTGTGTCCCCCCTGACAGGAGAATTGTACAGAGATTGTATAGTGTGTGTCCCCTGAAGGAGATTGTACAGAGATTGTACAGAGATTGTATAGTGTGTGTGTGTCCCCCCTGACAGGAGATTGTACAGAGATTGTATAGTGTGTGTCCCCCTGACAGGAGATTGTACAGAGATTGTATAGTGTGTGTCCACCTGACAGGAGATTGTACAGAGATTGTACACTTTGAAATCTGTACAATCTCCTTTAGATCCACCAATAGGTAGGTAGTGGACGGGCCTGCCAGATTGGATACAATTGGATTGGATAGTCAGGTAGGTCCTCAAATGTATCGTTTTTGTAGATCTAAACTAAAGTTGATGAATTGATGGCTGACCATACACCATGCAATCCGATTGGACAATACCTTAGTCTACTGTGTAGCAACCTCATGATTACATAGGGAGATTATACAATTTCTGTTACATACGGAGAAAACAACAATCAGATTGTAGAGTGTATGGCCAGAACATGTCTGAAATCTGATCACTTTCAGGGTGCCGCCAGGACCGGATCTCCCGTTAGGCCCTGCAGGCGTGTGCCTATAGACCACAGAACCGAAGGGGCAGATTTTCCCTGTATGTTCATTGGGCGCCCATTCATGGCCCTCAATCAGCAGACATACCGACTTCTCCGTGACCGTACAAGCATGCTCTCAGTGTTGTCTTCTGTTTGTGCAGGTCCCCATTACCTTCGATGAGGTGGCCGTGTATTTCCTGGAGGAGGAATGGCGCCATCTAGAGGCGTGGCAGAGACAGCTATACCAGGAGGTGATGAGGGACAATCTGGAGGCCGTAATATCGTTGGGTACGTCCCGATTCATATTGTATACCGTCCTGAGCTCAGGACAGACGGGAAATCTGTGCTAAACCTGGTCCCCATGTATGGGGGATGGTCAGGACTGGACCATGTATGGGGGATGGTCAGGACTGGTACCATGTATGGGGGATGGTCAGGACTGGTCCCATGTATGGGGGATGGTCAGGACTGGTACCATGTATGGGGATGGTCAGGACTGGTCCCATGTATGGGGGATGGTCAGGATTGGTACCATGTATGGGGGGTGGTCAGGACTGGTACCATGTATGGGGGATGGTCAGGACTGGTCCCATGTATGGGGGATGGTCAGGACTGGTTAACCATGTCATGGATGGGGGATGGTCAGGACTGGTACCATGTGGGGGATGGTCAGGCGGACTGGTACCATGTATGGGGGATGGTCAGGACTGGTACCATCTGTATGGGGGGTCAGGATGGTACCATGTATGGGGGATGGTCAGGACTGGTACCATGTATGGGGGATGATGGTCAGGACTGGTACCATGTGATGGGGGATGGTCAGGACTGGTACCATGTATGGGGGGAAATGGTCAGGACTGGTACCATGTATGGGGGATGGTCAGGACTGGTACCATGTATGGGGGGATGGTCAAGGACCTGGTACCATGTATGGGGGGATGGTCAGGACTGGTACCATGTATGGGGGATGGTCAGGACTGGTACCATGTATGGGGGGATGGTCAGGACTGGTACCATGTATGGGGGATGGTCAGGACTGGTACCATGTATGGGGGGATGGTCAGGACTGGTACCATGTATGGGGGGATGGTCAGGACTGGTACCATGTATGGGGGATGGTCAGGACTGGTACCATGTATGGGGGGATGGTCAGGACTGGTACCATGTATGGGGGGATGGTCAGGACTGGTACCATGTATGGGGGATGGTCAGGACTGGTACCATGTATGGGGGGATGGGTCAGGACTGGTACCATGTATGGGGGATGGTCAGGACTGGTACCATGTATGGGGGATGGTCAGGACTGGTACCATGTATGGGGGATGGTCAGGGACTGGTACCATGTATGGGGGATGGTCAGGACTGGTACCATGTATGGGGGATGGTCAGGACTGGTACCATATACAGTTGCAAGAAAAAGTATGTGAACCCCTTGGGATTCCGTGGAGTTTTGCATGAATTGGGCATAAAATGTGCTCTGAACGTCATCTAAGTCACAACAATAGAAGAACACAGTCTGCTGAACATAATACTACACAAACATTAGATGTTGCCATGGTTTAGTTGCACATAACATGTAAACATTCACAGTGCAGGGAGGAAAAAGTATGTGAAGCCCTAGCTTAATGACTTCTCCCAGAGCTAATTGGAGCCAGGAGTGAGCCAACCTTGACTCCAATCAGTGTGATGATATTGGATGTGTTGCTGACACCTGTTTTGGGTTTACTGGTTTCAAGAAGCACTGTCTGATGTGAACCATGCCTCGCAGAAAAGAGCTCTCAGAAGATCTACCATCAAGAATTGTTGACTTGCATGAAGCTGGAAAGGGTTACAAAAGTATCTCCTTGAGCCTTGATGTTCATGTGTCCACGGTAAGACAGACTGTCTACAAATGGAGAAAGTTTAGCACTGTTGCTACTCTCCCTAGGCGTGGTCATCCTGTAAAAATGACTGCAAGAGCACAGCGCAGAATGCTGCATGAGGTAAAGAAGAATCCCAGAGTGTCAGCTAAAGACCTACAGAAATCTCTGGCACATGCTAACATTTTTGTTGACACATCTACAATAAGGAAAACAAAACAAGAATGGAGTACATGGGAGGACACCACGGAGGAAGCCATTGCTGTCCAAAAAGAAGATTGCAGCACGTTTGAAGTTTGCAAAAGAGCACCTGGATGTTCCACAGCACTACTGGCAGAATATACTGTGGACAGATGAAACCAAGATTGAGTTGTTTGGGAAGAACACACAACACTATGTGTGGAGAAAAAAAGGCCCAGCACACCAACATCAAAACCTCATCCCCACTGTGAAACATGGCGGAGGGAGCATCATGGTTTGGGGCTGCTTTGCTGCCTCAGGGCCTGGAGGGATTGTTGTCATTGATGGGAAAATGAATTCCAGAGTTTATCAAGACATTTTGCAGGAAAACGTACGACCATCTGTCCGCCAACTGAAGCTCCGCAGAGGATGGGTGATGCAACAGGACAATGATGACCCAAAGCATACAAGTCATTCAACAAAACAATGGCTGCAACAGCACAGAATACCCTTCTGGAGTGGCCCAGTCAGAGTCCTGACCTCAACCCCATTGAAATGCTGTGGCATGACCTTAAGAGAGCGATTCACACCAGACATCCCAAGAATATTACTACACTGAAACAGTTTTGTGAAGAGGAGTGGTCCAAAATGACTCCAGATGGTTGTGCAGGTCTGATCTGCAACTACAGGAAACGTTTGGTTGAGGTTATTGCTGCCAAAGGAGGGTCAACCAGTTATTAAGTCCAAAGGTTCACATACTTTTTCCTCCCTGCACTGTGAATGTTTACATGTTATGTGCAATTAAACCATGGCAACATCTAATGTTTGTGTGTTATTATGTTCAGCAGACTGTGTTCTTCTATTGTTGTGACTTAGATGACATTCAGAGCACATTTTATGCCCAATTCATGCAAAACTCCACGGTAATCCCAAGGGGTTCACATACTTTTTCTTGCAACTGTATGGGGGGATGGTCAGGACTGGTACCATGTATGGGGGGATTGTCAGGACTGGTACCATGTATGGGGGGATGGCCAGGACTGGTCCCATGTATGGGGGGATGGCCAGGACCGGTACCATGTATGGGGGGAAGGGCAGGACTGGTACCATGTATGGGGGGATTGCCAGGACCGATACCATGTATGAGGGGAAGTTCAGGACTGGTACCACATGTGGAGGGGATGACCAGGTCCGGTACCATGTATGGGAGGATGGCCAGCACTGATACCATGTATTGGGGGATGGCCAGATCCAGTACCATGTATGAGGGGATTACCAGTGCTGGTACCATGTATGAGGGGAAGTCCAGGACTGGTACCATGTGCAGGGGGGAAGGCCAGAACCGGTACCATGTATGGGTGGATGGCCAGGTCTGGTACCATGTATGGGTGGATGGCCAGGTCTGGTACCATGTATGGGGGATGGCCAGGTCTGGTACCATGTATGGGGGGATGGTCAGGACTTGTATCATGTACAGGAGGGAAGGCTAGGACCAGTATTCAGTTTTGTATGGGAGAAGGTCAGGACCAGTACCATGTACGGGGGGATGGCTTGGACTGGTACCATGTATGGGGGATAGCAGAACTTGTACCATGTAATAGGGGGATTGCCAGGATCTGGTACCATGTACATGGGGGAAGGACATGACCAGTACCTTATACAGGGGGATAGCCAGGACTGGTACCTTATACGGGGGGGTTGCCAGAATTTATACCATGTATGGGGGGATGGCAAGACTTGTACCACGTATGGGGGAATGGCAAGGACCGGTACCATATATGGGGGATGGCCAGGATTTGTACCATATATGGGGGATGGCCAGGATTTGTACCATGTATGGGGGATGGCCATGATTTGTACCATGTAATGGGGGATGGCCATGACTGGTACCAGAGCACAGAGAGCCCATTGGTATCATGCACAGGGTGCCCGCCATGTACAAGTGATCACCACAATCATTTACAAGGTAAGTGCCAGGACCAATACATGCACAGTGTGCCTACCAGACCAGTATCACGTACGGGGGAATGGCAAGGAATGGTAACTTGTACAGAGTGATTGCTAGGACTGGTACCATGTGCAGGGTGCATTCCTGGACCAGTACCATGTGCAGGTGCAGTTCCTGGACCAGATTACCATGTGCAGGGTGCATTCCTGGACCAGTACCATGTACAGGGTGCCCGCCGGGACCAAGAACATACACTCAGTGTGTAGGCAGTCACATCAGAAATCAGAATAGTGGGAAGGAAGTTCCTCCAGACCCCAATATGTGTCACCCACCAGGCCAAGTGAGGTAGGTACCCCGGGGGCTAGTCTCTCACTTCTCCTCAGGTGTACACAGGATGACGTGGCTCTCCTCAAAGTCTGCACTTTGCTCTCTCCTCCACCCCCACCCCCCGGAGATGTGAACCCAGAACTAGCCAGTACTCCCAACCAAATCAGGCTGTCCATAGTGCTGCCTGCGGTGACAACTCATCACCGTAGCAATCGTTGGGGATTTCTCTGAAGCTTTCCACATTTCCATGTTCCATATTGGATTCTAATGAATCCCTTTAATTGAAAGGTAAAGGGGGGACCTATAGCCAAAATGTGTTACGTCCATGTTTGGGGGTGACAACTAGAGATGAGACCAATTTTTCAAAAAATTCGATTCGGCTGATTCCGAATTCCAGGAAGATAATTCGATTCGATGGAATTAATTCGCTACGAAGTTAACTTATAAAAAGGTTTATCTAGGCTTCAGAGAGCCTTATAGTAGGCAGAACACTGTACCTAACACACAACATTTAAATGCCCTTGGAGATGAGGAAAGAGAAGGAGAAGGAGAAGGATGAGAAGAAGGAGAAGGATGAGAAGAAGAGAAGGATGAGAAGAAGGAGAAGGAAAAAGAAGGAGAAGGATTGAGAAGAAGGAGAAGTGAGAAGGAGAAGGAGAAGGAGGAGAAGAAGGAGAAGGATGAGAAGAAGGAGAAGGAGAAGGAGAAGGAGAAGGAGAAGAGGAGAAAGAAGTGGAGAAGGAGAAGGATGAGAAGAAGGAGAAGATGAGAAGCAATAGGAGAAGGAGAAGGAGGGAGAAGGAGAAGGATGAGAAAAGGAGAAGGAGAAGGAGAAGGAGAAGGAGAAGGATGAGAAGAAGGAGAAGGATGAGAAGAAGGAGAAGGAGAAGGTGAAGGAGGAGAAGGAGAAGGAGAAGGATGAGAAGAAGGGGAGAAGGAGAAGCGATGCGAACTCCATGGAGAAGGAGAAGTATGAGAAGAAGGAGAAGGAGAAGGATGAGAAGAAGGAGATTAAGGAGAAGGATGAGAAGAAGGAGAAGGAGAAGGATGAGAAGAAGGAGAAGGATGAGAAGAAGGAGAAGGGAAGAAGGATGAGAAGAAGGAGAAGGAGAAGGATGAGAAGAAGGAGAAGGAGAAGGATGAGAAGATGGAGAAGGAGAAGGATGAGAAGAAGGAGAAGGATGAGAAGAAGGAGAAGGAGGGGGATGCCAGAAGGAGATTAGGATGAGAAAGAGGAGAGAAGGAGAAGGATGAGGAGAAGGAGAAGGATAAAGAAAGGAGAAGGATGAGAAGATAAGGAGAAGGAGAAGGATGAGAAGAAGGAGAAGGAGAAGATGAGAAGAAGGAGAAGGAGAAGGATGAGAAGAAGGAGAAGGATGAGAAGAAGGAGAAGGGATCGAAGAAGCTGATGAGAAGAAGGATGAGAAGAAGATGAGAAGAAGGAGAAGGAGAAAGAGGAGAAGGAGAAGGATGAGAAGAAGGATGAGAAGAAGAAGAAGGATGAGAAGAAGGAGAAGGATGAGAAGAAGGAGAGAAGAAGGATGAGAAGAAGGATGAGAAAGAAGATGAGGAGAAGGAAAAGGAGGAGAAGGATGAGAAGAAGGATGAGAAGAAGGAGAAGGATGAGTAGAAGATGAGATGAGAAAAGAAGTGAAGGATGAGAAGAAGGAGAGGATTAGAAGAAGGAGAATGGAGAAGGAGAAGGAGAAGGAGGAGAAGGAGAAGGGAAAGGAGGAGAAGGAGAAGAGGAGAAGAAGGAGAAGGAGAAGGTATGAGAAGAAGGAGAAGGATAGAAGAAGGGAAGGAGAAGGAGAAGGATGAGATGAAGGAGAAGATGAGAGAAGAAAGGAGAAGGATGAGAAGAAGGAGAAGGATGAGAAGAAGGAAGAAGGATGAGAAGAAGGAGAAGGAGAAGGATGAGAAGAAGGAGAGAGGATGAGAAGAAGGAGAAGGATAGAAGAAGGATGAAAGAAGGAGGAGAAGAAGGATGGAAGAAGGATGAGAAGAAGGATGAGAAGAAGGTGAGAAGAAGGATGAGAAGAAGGATGAGAAGAATGAGAAGGAGAAGGAGAAGGAGAAGGAGGAGATGGAGAAGGATGAGAAGAAGGATGAGAAGAATGGGGGAGATTGTCCGCGGGATTTGTGAAAGAAGGAGAAGGATGTGAAGAAGGATGAGAAGAAGGCACATGAGAAGAAGGAGAAGGAGAAGGAGGAGAAGGAGAAGGATGAGAAGAAGGATGAGAAGATGGAGAAGGATGAACGAAGAAGGATCTTGAGAAGAAGGAGAAAGGATGAGAAGAAGGAGAAGAATGAGAAAGAAGGAGAATGAGAAGGAGAAGGAGAAGGATGAGAAGAAGGAGAAGGAGAAGGAGAAGTGTTGGAGAAGGAGGAGAAGGAGAAGGAGAAGGAGGAGAAGGAGAAGGAGGAGAAGAAGGAGAAGCCTGAGAAGAAGGAGAAGGATGAGAAGAAGGATGAGAAGAAGGAGAAGGATGAGAAGAAGGACAGTTTTCTGGTGACAGTTTCTGTCTATTTCTGACAGTTCTGGGACATTCACTCCATACAGCGGTTGAAACATTGTATCTATTTGTTTCCATAAATGACATTCTGCAGATACACTTAGAGGAGCTCTGCAGATACACTTTTTGCCGGCTTGGAATTATTTCTTATCTCTTTCTTCTTCATCCTCATCCTCATCCTCTTCTTCTTCTTCTGAGGATGAGGATGAAGAAGAAGAAGAAGAAGTAGGATGAAAATAAGAATTCCCAAACCGGCAAATCAGTGTAAGTGCAGAGTTCCTCAAATTCTGACAGTTCTCTGACAGCTCATCACATGTACAGCGGTTGAAACATCTGTATCCTAAAAGGAAACTAATAGATACTTTCAACCGCTGTACATGTGAAGGAACTGTCAGAGAACCTGTTTCAGAAATAGCGGAGCTCTCTGCAGGGACACTTTTGCCGCTAATCGGGAAAAATCCGATTTATTGAAGTAGGCTAATATTCAGATTCGACGCGAATCGAATTTTTCCTGAAATTCGTATCGAATTCCACTTCGCCTGGTTCGATTCGCTCATCTCTAGTGACAACCATGTGTCCTGTCACTGATAACTGTCACTGGCACTGATAGAGGGGTGAATCCTCCTAGCAGGGTCACTGACAGCCATTCCAACAATTCCACACTCCATCCAAAACCAAACATAAGTGAAGGAGTAGACTGGAGAGTCTTGGGAAGGTCCTCCTAGTTAGGATACTTATGAGGTTAGGATACATTTAGGTTTTTGTTTGGGATTCTTTGTTATCAGTGGAGCAGAGTGTGATTATTTGTGGCTGTTGGGTCCTGCTGGTTGCAGGCTCAACTACCTCCCCCCCCCAGCCTTCTAGTGGGTTCTAGATTGTAGTGGGCTGGAGGAGGCAGACCCTGGCCTTGAATATTCATACCACCTCAGCAAATCACTGGAGAGAAGAGGATGCCCAGTGGTGGGCTGAGGGGTGTATACATAGTCTGGGGCCTGGAAGAGCGGGGTCCTTGTCCTGGAGGAGAAGACCCAACCTGAAGGGCTGCTGCCCTTCTGGGCAGATTACCTATAGTCTGCAGGAGATCATCGAAGTCCCAGCTCAGGACTCACCTCATTTCCTGGCTGGAGGAAATTCAACATCATCCAGGCTGAATAGGAACATCTCCTCCTCCAGACTGACACCCACCAATCAAGGCATTTTGATAGTTGCATAACTCCACATAAATGTGTTTTAGCTTTACATACCTGAATATGGTGGTGTGGCTCACTAAAAATGGCATCTTTCTTCGCAGGATACGAGTATCGCCATCCCCCTCCCTCACCGAGGGTCTTCACAGAAGATGATAAATGGACATTCCGACATTCTGAAGACCCCTTGGGTAAGTGAAGCTATGTCCTCGGGTCTTCAGTCTACCATCGAAGAAGCAAGTGATTTGATTATTTGTCGTTTCAGAGGCAGATGAAGAGAAGGAGCCACACATCAAGGTTCAGAGAACGTTCCAGAATCATTCTCCCGGTTCTTCAGGACATCTAACAAATGGAGTCACCCAGCATGAGGACCAGAAGCCTCCATCTGCTAAGAAACCTCACCGGTGTTTGGAGTGTAAGATGATCTTCGGTAGCTGGTCCCAATTTGCTGCACATAGACGGACCCATGACCAGGTGAAGGCCAAACATGCCAAAACAAGACAAGCCCTAAAACCAGCAGATTCCCAGAAGCGGGCTCGTGACCAGAGAAAAGTCCTGGGTCCAAGTGACACAGTAAAACCAGTTACCTCCCAGTCTGTTGCTCCTGACGGAAAGGTCTTCAAGTGCAATAACTGCGACAAAACCTTTATCAATAGGTCGGTCCTCTCTCTGCACCAGAGGACGCACACTGGGGAGAAAATCTTCAAGTGCCTTGAATGTGGGAGGAGCTTCACTAAAAGGGCGCAGCTGGTGGTGCACAGAAAATGCCACATAGAAGACAGGCCATACAAATGTACGCTTTGCGAGAAAAGCTACAACCAACGCTCGAAGTTGGTGGAACACCACAGAACTCACACGGGAGAGAAACCATTTCAGTGCTCAGTGTGTGGGAAAGGCTTCACCAAGAGGTCCCACCTTAAAGAACACCTGCGGATCCATAACGGCGATAAACCCTATAAATGCGACCAGTGCGACAAGACTTTCCACTACCCATCCAACCTGGTGGAGCACCAGAGGACTCATTCTGGTGACAGACCATTCCAGTGCACTGAGTGCGATAAGAGCTTCATTAAAATGTCCAAACTTATTGTCCACCTCCGGGTACACACCGGGGAACGACCCTACAAGTGTCCTGAGTGCGGTAAAAGCTTCAGCCAGCAGTCTAACCTGGTTGGCCACCAACGGACACATACCAGACAAAAACCATTCAGGTGTGACATATGCAATAAGAGTTTTAGCCACCATTATGCTCTTGTGGTCCACCAAAGATCCCACTCAGGGGAAAAACCCTACAGATGTTCTTTATGTGAGAAAGCCTTCAGCCAGAATTCCAACCTTAAGCTTCATATGAAGGTTCATGAGCCAGAAAGGGACCAATACAAGCGCCTGAAGACCAGGCATGAGCCACAACCTCCAGATATTTATGATGTACGCATGAAGAACAATCATGAACCTCAACCATCCAGTGACCTTGATGTATGCAAGAAGAACAATCATGACTCTTTAGGTGTTTATAATTCATACAAAAAGACTTTTTCTGTGAAAGAACATAATATCCTGGACATATGCAAATCCCAACATGACCCTGCAACCAATGAATGTCCTTTACTTGCGGAAGAGTAAATTTCGAGAGCCTAAGCCAAAGAAAGGACCTGACATTTGCAAGAAGCCCCATAATGAACCACCCGAGGTGAACACGCATGGAACACAGAGGAAAACAACCAATATTTGTAGGAAAACTTGCCATGAATCCCAACCACCTAATGACACAGACCTATGCAAGAAGACTTCTCCTGAGCTCCAACCAATGAACAGCCCTGAGGTATACAAAAAGACCTATCAAGCACCACAACAAAAGAACCATCATGAACTTTCCAGGAGGACAACCCATAAATCACAACCTGCTAAACTGCACTAATTTAAAAGAGAAGACCTTCAAAAAAGAACACCTGGACCATCAAGCTCCTGCTCTGAGGATTCCACCAAAGGACCTGAGAGTGGAACGGAACCTATACCGACTCGAACAGCATATACCGAGAATGATCCAGATGTCACAGAGGACTTAGAAGATGCGTATCTTCCATGGTCCCCCTTGAGTCAGTACCTGGCGGCTGTGTGGCCCCCAGAGAAGCAGTATAGCTGCAGCGAGTGTGACAAAACTTTCTTGGAGAAATCCAAGTTTGTCATCCACCTTCGCACGCACACCGGGGAGCGCCCCTTCAAATGCTCACAGTGCGGGAAGGCCTTCATCCAATGGTCCCGCCTGACGGAGCTCCGCAAAACCCACACCGACGAGAAGCCTTACGTGTGCGGCGAATGCGGCAAAAGCTTCATCAAACGCTCCAAGCTGACCATCCACCAGAGAATTCACAGCGGGGAACGCCCTTACGCCTGCCCCGAGTGTGGCAAACGGTTCAGCCAGCAGTGCAACATGGCCGTCCACCAACGCATCCACACCGGGGAAATGCCCTTTAAATGTACAGAGTGCAATAGGTTGTTCAGGTACCAGACCGCGCTCAACAGACATAGGCGGAGCCACGCATCTGAGACGTAGCCCCGCCCCGATGTCAGACATGTATAGGTTAAAGAAAATAAATCATTTTAAATCTACAAAAAGATACAAAATGAATCATTTGTGTACAAGTAAAGATTGTGTGAAATTTGTCTTGTTTATAGTTGTGCTGAAAGGTCTGCCCCCCGCTGGAGAATCGGGAATATACAGGATGGACTGAGAGTGAGCCGGCAGAACCCATTCCTTGTATTTCTGACGGGATTCCTATTCTGTAAATGGAGATGATAACAGAATGGGCCAATCAGAAACCAGATAATGGCAACCAGTAAACCAATGAAATGCCCCCCCTGTTCAATAGTCTGCACCCCCTTAGTTCTTTGTCCTGTGTGTCGCCCCCTTCAGCACCAATGACAGCGTTTCTTCTGTAATAGTTGTCTATGAGACCCCTCGAATTCCTGTAGGTGGTTGAGCCGCCCATTAGTCTCAGACAAAATGACTCCAGGTCATGCAAACTCTTTTGGTGGTCTTGCATGGACCGCACGTTTGAGATCTCCCCAGAGCGGCTTGATGATATGAAGGTCAGGAGACTGTGATGGCCACTCCAGAACCTTCACCTTTTTCTACTCTAACCACTGGAGGGTCAGCTTGGCCTTGTACTTAGGGTCATTGTTGTGCTTGAAAGACTAAGAGCATCCCATGAGCAGCTTTCCTGCAGAACACAAATTGTCTCCAGTACCAAAAAGACCGATGACTGCATGAGAAAAGTCCTTGGTGGTCTTGCATGAACCACACGTTTGAGATCTTCCCAGAGCGGCTCGATGATATGAAGATCAGGAGACTGTGATGGCCACTCCAGAACCTTCACATTTTTCTGTTGTAACCACTGGAGGGTCAGCTTGGCCTTGTGCTCGGGGTCATTGTTGTGCAGGAAAGACCAAGAGTGTCCCATGAGCAGCTTTCCTGCAGAACACAAATTGCCTACAGGACCAAAACGACCAATGACTTTCCATGAGAAAAGTCTTTGGTGGTCTTGCATGAACTGCATGTTTGAGATCTCCCCAGAGTTGATATTGAGGTCAGGAGACTGTGATGGTAACTCCAGACCTTTTTCTGCTCTAACCACTGGAGGGTCAGCTTGGCCTTATGCTTGGGGTCATTGTTGTGCTGGAAAGACCAAGAGTGTCCCATGAGCAGCTTTCCTACAGAACACAAATTGCCTCCAGGACCATGTGCAAAGTCTTTGGTTGTCCTGCATGACCCGAATGTTGGTGACCTCCCCAGAGCAGCTCGGTGATATTAAGGTCAGGAGACTGTGATGGCAGTGATGAGCAGCTTTCCTGCAGAACCCAAATTGTCTCCAGGACCAAAACGACCAATGACTTTGCATGAGCAAAGTTCTTGGTGGTCTTGCATGAACCGCATGTTGGAGATCTTCCCAGACCGGCTCGATGATATGAAGGTCAGAAGACTGTGATGGTCACTCCAGAACCTTCACCAAGTCCAAGAGCATCCGATGAGCAGAAGAATGCAAATTGTCTGCCAGTATTTTCCGATAACATGCTGCATTCATCTTGTCATCAATTTTCACAAGATTCCCCGTGCCTTTTAGATCTCACAAGCCCCCAAAACATCAGTGAGCCACCACCATGCTTCACAGTGGGGATGGTATTTTTGTCATTGTAGGCCTTGTTGACCCCTCTCCAAACATAACGCTTAGGGTTGTGACCATAAAGTTCTATTTTGGTCTCGTCACTCCAGATTACATTGTGCCAGAAGGTGCGAGGAGTGTCAAGGTGTTGCCGGGCATGGTGAAGCCGGGCTTTATTGCAGCATTGGAACAGTAAAGGCGTCTTTCTGGCAACTCAACCATGCAGCTCATTTTTGTTCAAGTGTCGTCTTGTTGTCCCCCGTCCCATACTCCCCCTTCCTTTAAATTGTAAGCTCCACGGGCCGGGCCCTCCTATTCTTTCTGGACTGAAATGTATTGTAATTGTACCGCCCCCCTTATATTGTACAGCGCTGCGCAGACTGTTGGCGCCATAAATCCTGTATAATAATAATAATATTGTGCTCCTTGAAACACCCACATAGTCTTTTTCCAGAGCAGCCTGTATACCTCCTGAGGTCACCTGTGGGGGCTTTTCTTTGTATCCCAAACAATTCTTCTGTCAGTTGTAGCCGCCATCTTTCTTGGTCTACCTGACCTTGGCTTGGTATCAAGAGATCCCCGAATTTTCTACTTCCTAGTAAGTGATTGAACTGACTGGCCTATTCAAGGCTTTGGACATCTTTTTATATCCTTTTCCATCTTTATAAAGTCCCATTACCTTGTTACGCAGGTCTTTTGAAAGTTCTTCTCTGCTCCCCATGGCTCAGTATCTAGCCTGCTCAGTGCATCCATGTGAGAGCGAACAAACTCACTGACTATTTATACACTGACACCAGGGGCGGACTGACCAGCCATGGGCCCCCCCGGGCAATAGGGGATCATGGGGTCCCTGTGTCCTCACCCACACTCAAACCACACCCAAAAAAGCCTATGAAAGGTACCAGGGGCATCTCATGGGGCCCCCTACTGATCCAGGCCCTCGGGCAGTACCCGAGTTCCCAAATGGTCAGTCCGCCCCTGACTGACACTAATTGCAATGTAAAAATCCACAGATGTGGGAAATTACCCTTTAGTGGCCATGGTACCCTGTGTCTGTCCCCTTGTGTGCCTGTACCAAGGCTGGACATTCCAGGGGGCGGAAACTTTTGATCTGGGGGCGGGGACTTCTGATCTGGGGGCGGAGACTTCTGATCCGGGGGGTGAAGAGTTTTGATTCAGGGGGTGGATACTTCTTATCCGGGTGCGGAGACTTCTGATCCGGGGCAGAGACTTCTGATTCGGGGGTGGAGACTCCTGATCTGGGGGCGGAGACTTCTGATCTGGGGGGTGGAGACTTCTGATCCTGGGGTGAAGACTTCTGATCTGTGGGCGAAGACTTCTGATCTGTGGGCGAAGACTTCTGATCTGTGGGCGAAGACTTCTGATCCAGGGGTGAAGACTTCTGAACCAGCGGGCGGAGACTTCTGATCCTGTGGAGACTTCTGATCCAGGTGGTGGAGACTTCTGATCCCGGCCGTTTGGGGGATGCCTGTTATCATTAGGATTCAAAAAGGAGCCAAAAGGTCCATGTGATCATAAATGGCGTCCTATCATCGCCATCTTTTCAATAAAAGTTTTTTGGCAGATCGGTCAGATTTTCAATGATCAATGCCGAAATTTCACTATTTCTGCCAGGGGAGGGAGACTTTTCAGCACAGCTGTAAGTGATGTTCTCTTTGGTGGGAATTTATTTTATTTATTTATTTCAGGTACTTCTATAGCACCATCACTTTACGCAGCACTTTACATATATATTGTACATTCACATCAGTCCCCGCCCCCGAGGAGCGTACAATCTAAGGTCCTAACTCACATTCATACATACACATACCAGGGACAATTTAGACAGGAGCCAATTCACCTCCCAGCATGTCTTTGGAGTGTGGGAGGAAACCGGAGTACCCGGAGGAAACCCACGCAGGCACAGGGAGAACATGCAAACTCCAGGAAGGTGGTGCCGTGGTTGAGATTAGAACCAACAACCCGAGTACTGCCAGGCGGAAGTGCTAACCATTTAGCCACTGTGCTGCCCCATTGTAAAGGAATGTAAAGTGGGGTGTTTGTGTGTGTGTGTATGTGCAGGGGCGGACTGACAACTCATGGGGCCCCCCGGGCAATAGGGGATCATGGGGCCCCTGTGTCCTTGCCCAAAATCAAAAAAGCCTATGAAAAAGGTACCAGGGGCATCTCATGGGGTCCCCTACTGACCCAGGGCCCTCGGGCGGTGCCCGAGTTTCCAACTGGTCAGTCCGCCCCTGTGTATGTGTATATATATACACACTATATTGCCAAAAGTATCGGTGGATTCAGGGGTTGGGCTTGGCCCCCTAGTTCCAGTGAAGGGAACTCTTAAGGCGACATTTTGGACAATTTCGGCCCCCAACTTTGTGGGAGGAGTTTGGGGATGGCCCCTTCCTGTTCCATCATGACTGCGCACCAGTGCACAAAGCAAGGTCCATAAAGACATGGAGGAGCCAGTTTGGGGTGGAGGAACTTGATGTCCTGCACAGAGTCCTGACCTCAACCCCATAGAACACCTTTGGGAGGAATTAGAGCGGAGACTGCGAGCCAGGCCTCCTCCCCCGACATCAGTGCCTGACCTGACAAATGTGCTTCTGGAAGAATGGTCCAACCTTCCCATAGACACCCTCCTAAACCTTGGGGGGCCTTCCCAGAAGAGGTGAAGCTGTTATAGCTGCAAAGGGCGGGGCCAACTCAATATTGAACCCTACGGACTAAGACTGGGGGGCCATTAAAGGTCATGTGTGTGGAAAGGGCGGGGCCAACTCAATATTGAACCCTACGGACTAAGACTGGGGGGCCATTAAAGGTCATGTGCGTGGAAAGGGTGGAGCCAACTCAATATTGAACTCTACGGACTAAGACTGGGGGGCCATTAAAGGTCATGTGTGTGGAAAGGCCGGCGGCCTGATACTTGGGGCAATATGGTGTATATATATTTTTTAGACATTTGTATAGATTGGGGTTGTTCCTCTCTGTGACATTCTGGCTCCCCCAGTGGACCTGTGTAATCTGATGATCTTTGTAAGTGTGGAACATATAAGGGGGGAATATGACGTTTTTATTTGCACCCTTATAGAAAACTAAACTAAAAATGAATAGAACTCATATTTCTAGGATTCTTCTTGCTGATTTTCCTCCTATGCGGTGGTCCCCGGGCTATCCCACACTCCTGGCCGGCTCTTTGGTGAGGTTCCTTCCATCTCGGTGACCCCTCTCTGTGGTGGACCATTTGTGGAGTGGAGGTCTGGTTGTGGGCGGGGTTCTCACCTTTGCATATGATGTACTTACCGTAGTGAACAGTATTTTATATCTCACACCTATTATTGTATTTTAGTTGGTATCCTGTATGCGTTCTTCCTGAAGAAGCCACGAGGAGAAACATGTAGAAGAACATGCATAGAGGACCTCGCCAACATGTCTGTACCAACTGGAGAGGAAATCCATCCAAGCCGTCTCTGGGAAATGTTTCTCTGGTTTTAATATGGATTTGTAATGAATATTACTGGTTTATAATAGTTTATGTTTGGTTTATGCATCTTACATATAGTCCCTGCACCATATCGGGAGATGCCCCTCCCCCCATGTGAGGATCTGTCACCTTCCTTCCATGGTGTCCCCCGTGCTATCATTTCCTTCTCTTTGTACCATCAGCATGGAAACATTTCACCTTCCTGCCCAATAACCTCCTGAACTCCGGGCAGATAGAAGACACAACCAATGCCGCGCTCTGCTCACCAATCACACATTTTTATTGGGCAAAAAAAGAAATGTTAGTAAAGCGATACAAGTCAGCGCGTCGTTTCCGGATGTCGGTCCCTGAAGAGCTGTGCAGACCTATGAAGAGCGATAAGAGGATCAAAGCGGCTTGGAGAGGGCGGAGTCACGGCTTAAATGCCTGGAAGGGAAGGAAGAAGAAGAAAGAGGTTATTTATAGCGGACCTTCCAACCAATAGAAGTAATTTTGCACCTGGCTCCTCCCCCTTCCTCCTACACAATTATATTTAACCCCTCCCCCTCTCACCCTCCAGGGATCGGAGCGATTTGTACGTTTCTGATATGAACCTGTTCATTCGGCGATGAGGTCGTCATTACTGAAGATAACAAGGTAACGCATGTATTGTTGTTTAACCAGCTGCAGACTCTGGGCGTGCTACACACGTCCACAAATATGTCATCATTGTACACAGGGAATGTGTAGCACGTCCAGTCCTTCTGCCCTGAGGCCAGGAACCCCCCCATCCCAGTACTCAGCAATTCAGCTCTGACTAATCACAGTGGCATTCAGGGCCGGATCTACCCTATCTGATCTGGGGGTGCAGTAAAAAAAAAAAAAACGTTCCATCAAAGTCCCCCTTACATCAGATGTCCCCATCAGAGCGCCCTCTTACATCAGGTGTCCCCAGCAGAAATCCCCCTTACATCAGGTGTCCCCATCAGAGTGCCCTCTTGCATCAGGTGTCCCCATCAAAGATTCCCCTTACATCAGATGTCCCCATCAGAGTGCCCTCTTACATCAGGTGTTTCCATTAAAGTGCCTCTTTGATGGGGTCCTCTTCTGGCAGGTGTCCCCATTGAGGTCCCTCCTAACATCACAGTCTACAGCAGAGTCCATCTTAGGAGCCCTGCTTCACATCTGGGTCTCCATCCAAGCCCACCCTACATCCAGGTCCCCATCAGAGCTCCCCTTACTTCTAGGTCCCCATTAGAGTCCCCCCTTACATCAAGTGTCCCCATCAGAGTGCCCCGTTACATCAATGTCCTGATCGAGATTTCCTCTAGCACAGTCTACATTAGAGTCCATCTTAGGAGCCCCCCTTCACATCCATGTCTCCATCAGAACCACCTTTACTTCCAGGTCCTCATCAGAGTGCCCCCTTACATCAGGTGTCCCCATCAGAGTGCTCCTTACATCAGGTGTCCCCATCAGAGTGCCCCCTTACATCAGGTGTCATCAGAGTGCCCCCTTACATCAGATATCTACTTCAGATGTCCCCATCAGAGATCCCCCTTACATCACGTGTCCCCATCAAAGTGTTCCCTTACATCCGGTGTCCCCTTTAGAGTGCCCCCGTTCATCAGGTGTCTCCATCAGAGATCCCTCTTACATCAGGTGTCCCCATCAGAGTCCCCCTTACATCAGATGTCCTCATCAGGGTCCCCCCTAACATCAAAGTCCATCTTAGGAGCCCCCCTTCACATCTGGGTCTCCATCCAAGCCCACCCTACATCCAGGTCCCCATCAGAGTCCCCTTCTATGTCCCCATTAGAGAGTCCCCCTGTGCATCAGGTTCCCAATAAGATTCTCCCTTCCATCATATATCCCCATCAGAGTGCCCCCTTACATCAGGTGTCCCATCAGAGTGCCCCCTTACATCAGGATCCCAATCAGAGTGCCCCCCTTACATCAGGTGTCCCCATCATTGTGTCCCTTTACATCAGCTGTCCCCATCAGAGTGCCCCCCTTACATCAGCATCCCCATCAGAGTGCCCCCTTACATCAGGTGTCCCCATCAGAGTGCCCCCTTACATCAGCATCCCCATCAGAGTGCCCCCTTACATCAGATGTCCCCATCAGAGTGCCCCCTTACATCAGCTCTCTGCATCAGACTGGCTCATGGATCAGTGGATAAGGAGCTCTCAGAGACTTGGGAGGGGCACAGCTAAAATCTCGGGGGCACAGCCGACCCCAGCACCCCCCTAGATCCGGCCCTGGCGACACTGCCCAGTACACAGAACGTTCTGACAGCTGAACCAGTCAAAGAAAAATCAGCCTGCCACTAATTATCACCAATACAGAAAGGTACAAAGTAACATTGTTTCATTTTGTATCTTTCTGTTTATTCATCTGCAGATGATTCTTCTCTCTTTTTTTGTTCGTCTCTATCCTACTAACTAATAATATTTAAACGTCTTTTTATATATTTACAAGTTTCACATTTAAAAAAGCGCAAAGTTGAAGAAATAAAACCCGGAACCCTTTCCTTCATCTGTCAATCACTTTGCGATGCTTTGTAGCAGAATCGTCATTTTAGGGTCATTATAAACAGAAGAAATCCCGGAAATAAATGCGCACTTTTCATGCAGCAACGCTGTTTGTTTGTAAACGGACACCCATCAAACACAGAAACAGCGCGTTTTGTTACGTTTACTGGTTTACGGGGAAAAAAAACTCATCCGGAAAACAATAGCTGAGGAGAGAAGGAGACGAAGGAGTTAATTCGGGCTGATTGGGGTCACTAAGGGTTAATAAGGGATAAACACAGGAACAGTTTTTGTAAAAAAAAAAAGAAACAAAATTGTCCGGTTGCTTTTACTGACATCCTTTACAGATCTAAGTTCAGCCCATTGATCTGCAGATGAATGAACAGAAAGATACAAAAGTAACAATAGGTAACATTGCATCTTTGTATATTCTCAGTCTGGTGCTGTGTTGTTTATAAGCACAGAGTCAGACCGGCTGGCCACGCCTTCTCTGAGTATACAGGGGTACCTGCCGACCGCCTACCTGGAAATGTACGTCAGGATATTGGAGTGGAGTTCCGGGGTCTATGGCTGCAGCTGGATGCCACATTCCTGCAATTAGACTTTTCAGCAGCCGCTGCTCTTTCTCCTAAAAGTGATCCGAGCCGCTGAATAGCCGCTGGATCACTAACAGAAGTGACGGGAGGGGTCGCCCCCTTTCCTTCTACTGCTTTCCAGTGGTTCTTGGGCTTAGCTGGCACATCGGTGTTGCGGTGGCTGGTCATAGAGATGATCAAAGGAAAAATGGGCTCATCTCTATGACCTAGGAGGACCAGAGCAACGTCATGACGTCACTTCCATTTCCAGACTGGTGTAAACAAGGCCATTTTTTTTTTTGGAAAGCACTAGATCAACTTTTTTTTTTTTTAAATCTGATGCTTTCCAGCATAGAGGAGAGATGTGGGGTCTTATTCAGAGAGACTGGATGTGCTACACATGTCCTGTGTACAGTATATACTGGTAGAAGGGTCCCTGCTGCAGGACAGAGACTGGATATACTACACATGTCCTGTGTACAGTATACTGGGAGAGGGGTCCCTGCAGCAGGACAGAGAGACTGGATGTGCTACACATGTCCTGTGTACAGTATACTGGGAGAGGGGTCCCTGTGGCAGGGCAGAGAGACTGGATGTGTTACACATGTCCTGTGTACAATACACTGGGAGAGGGGTCCCAGCAGCAGGACAGAGAGACTGGATGTGCTACACATGTCCTGTGTACAATACACTGGGAGAGGGGTCCCAGCGGCAGGACAGAGAGACTGGATGTGCTACACATGTCCTGTGTACAATACACTGGTAGAGGGGTCCCTGTGGCAGGGCAGAGAGACTGGATGTGCTACACATGTTCTGTGTACAATACACTGGGAGAGGGGTCCCAGCGGCAGGACAGAGAGACTGGATGTGCTACACATGTCCTGTGTACAATGATGACATTTCCTGGGGCCTGTGTAGCACGCCCAAAGTCTGCAACTCGTTAAAAAATGTTTTGAACTTCTTTTGCCTTAACCTGCAGTTGACCCATAACCAGCCCACCATCTGTCCCTGTGCCTCTCAGGAAGGGAGGGGGTAGGGAATAAAGGATTGAGGAATACTTCTAATAAAAAAGGGGAACTCCGCGTCCAACTCTGATGAGCAAGTTTTGCTACACCTGTCACTGGCCCCTTCCGGCCCCTCCCCCCCCACCATCGTCCTGGAAGTTTTCTCAGCGATTTGATTTCTGTTTTTACCTGTAAAATCCTCCCCGGCGGAGACACCAGAAAAGCTCTCAGACAGCTGCTGGGTGGCGCCATCCATTGTCCATTGTGGTGTATTGCCATGAATGTGCGCCTACAGTGCGCCACGCCCCCACCATTGTTCCCGGGGTTGTCCAGCTCCCAGGGCGAGGAATCCAGAACTGCGCCCCCCTCCCCCACTGTGCATGCATGTCATAGAATGGGGGTACCACTCTGCGTCCATTCTCTGCCCCCTCCCCCACTGTGTATACATGTCATAGAATGGGGGTACCACTCTGCGTCCATTCTCTGCCCCTCCCCCCACTGTGCATACATGTCATAGAATGGGGGTACCACTCTGCGTCCATTCTCTCCCCCTCCCCCCCACTGTGCATCTACATGTCATAGAATGGGGGTACCACTCTGCGTCCATTCTCAGCCCCCCTCCCCCGCTGTACATACATGTCATAGAATGGGGGTACCACTCTGCGTCCATTCTCTGCCCCCTCCCCCACTGTGCATACATGTCAGAATGGGGTACCACTCTGCGTCCATTCTCTGCCACCTCCCCCACTGTGCATACATGTCATAGAATGTGGGTACCACTCTGCGTCCATTCTCTGCCCCCTCCCCCACTGTACATACATGTCATAGAATGGGGGTACCACTCTGTGTCCATTCTCAGCCCCCCTCCCCCACTGTGCATACATGTCATAGAATGTGGGTACCGCTCTGCGTCCATTCTCTGCCCCCTCCCCCACTGTGCATACATGTCATAGAATGGGGGTACCACTCTGCGTCCATTCTCAGACCCCCCTCCCCCGCTGTACATACATGTCATAGAATGGGGGTATGGGGTACCACTCTGCGTCCATTCTCTGCCCCCTCCCCCACTGTACATACATGTCATAGAATGGGGGTACCACTCTGTGTCCATTCTCTGCCCCCTCCCCCACTGTACATACATGTCATAGAATGTGGGTACCACTCTGCGTCCATTCTCTGCCCCCTCCCCCCCACTGTGCATACATGTCATAGAATGTGGGTACCACTCTGTGTCCATTCTCTGCCCCCCCCCCCCCACTGTGCATACATGTCATAGAATGGGGGTACCACTCTGCGTCCATTCTCAGCCCCCCTCCCCCACTGTACATACATGTCATAGAATGTGGGTACCACTCTGCGTCCATTCTCTGCCCCCTCCCCCACTGTACATACATGTCATAGAATGGGGGTACCCACTCTGTGTCCATTCTCAGCCCCCCCTCCCCCGCTGTACATACATGTCATAGAATGGGGGTACCACTCTGCGTCCATTCTCTGCCCCCCTCCCCCACTGTGCATACATGTCATAGAATGGGGGTACCACTCTGCGTCCATTCTCAGCCCCCCTCCCCCACTGTACATACATGTCATAGAATGTGGGTACCACTCTGCGTCCATTCTCTGCCCCCTCCCCCGCTGTACATACATGTCATAGAATGGGGGTACCACTCTGTGTCCATTCTCAGCCCCCCTCCCCCCCACTGTACATACATGTCATAGAATGGGGGTACCACTCTGCGTCCATTCTCTGCCCCCCTCCCCCACTGTGCATACATGTCATAGAATGTGGGTACCACTCTGCGTCCATTCTCTGCCCCCTCCCCCACTGTGCATACATGTCATAGAATGTGGGTACCACTCTGCGTCCATTCTCTGCCCCCTCCCCCACTGTGCATACATGTCATAGAATGGGGTACCACTCTGCGTCCATTCTCTGCCCCCTCCCCCACTGTGCATACATGTCATAGAATGGGGGTACCACTCTGCGTCCATTCTCTGCCCCCCTCCCCCGCTGTGCATACATGTCATAGAATGGGGGTACCACTCTGTGTCCATTCTCAGCCCCCCCTCCCCCGCTGTACATACATGTCATAGAATGGGGGTACCACTCTGCGTCCATTCTCAGCCCCCCTCCCCCACTGTACATACATGTCATAGAATGGGGGTACCACTCTGCGTCCATTCTCAGCCCCCTTGCCTCCCTGCGCCTGGGGCACCTCCCCCTTCTGCCCCCCCCCCCCCCCCCCCCCTTGTCCCGGCCCTGATTGCTCATCACAACACAGCAGCAGATTTCTCCAGCATTGGGGCCCCGCCTGGGTTTTCACGCTTTCACCACCAATGAATGGGCGGCCTAATCCAACGTGGGAACCCAGGAGAGGACTCTGATGTAAGGGGGACATATATAGGGGGACTCTGATGGAGGCTCTGATGTAAGGGGGACATATATAGGGGGACTCTGATGGAGGCTCTGATGTAAGGGGGACATATATAGGGGGACTCTGATGGAGGCTCTGATGTAAGGGGGACATATATAGGGGGACTCTGATGATGTTTGTATCAGCCATCAATGTTAGTGAAATGTACGGTGTGGCCCCGTCTCTGCACAGTTTGGTGCCCTCAGGCCCCCCGCATGTTCCCTGGATCCTCGGACTTCCTGTTGTGACCGCGGGACAGGAAGTGAAGGGGAATCTCCTGACCGGGGATACAGCCCCTCCCCCCCCCAGCCCTGGGTTGTACAGTAAGTAGTAGGTAGGGATGTATGAAGGGATCATTCTACTAGACAATGAAATATCACTCCGAGGGGGAGGGGCAGAATTTCTGGATGCCCCCCCTCCCATCCCCGGGAATATCACACATAGAACCCGGATTACCTGTCCATCAGTGGCGATACAATTGGTCAGGTGGCAAGTCAAATGATCCTGCACCCGCACATTTCTGCGGAGAGAGAGAGAAGAGAGAGGAGAGGAGGGAAGGGAAGGGGAAGGGGGGAGGGGAGGGAAGAGAAGAGACGAGAAGAGGAGAGAAGAGAAGAGAGAAGAGGAGAGAAGAGAAGAGAGGAGAGAAGAGACGAGATGAGACCAGAAGAGAAGAGAAGGGATGGGAAGAGAAGAGAAGAGAAGAGAGGAGAGAAGAGAGGAGAGGAGAAGAGAGGAGAGGAGAGAAGAGAAGAGAAGAAGAGGAGAGGAGAGAAGAGAGGAGAGAAGAGAGAGAGGAGAGAGAGAGAGAGAGAGAAGAGAAGAGAAGAGAAGAGAAGAGAAGAGAAGAGAAGAGAGGAGGAGAGGAGAGAGAGAGGAGAGAAGAGAAGAGAGAGGAGAGAAGAGAGAGAGAGGAGAGGAGAAGAGAGGAAGAGAAGAGAAGAGAGGAGAGGAGAAGAAGAGGAGAGGAGAGAAGAGAAGAGAAGAGACCGAGAGAAGAGAGGAGAGGAGAGGAGAGGAGAGAAGAGAAGAGAGGAGAGGAAGGAGAGGAGAGGAGAGAAGAAGAGGAGAGGAGAGGAGAGGAGAGAAGAGAAGAGAAGAGAGGAGAGGAGAGGAGAGAAGAGAAGAGTGGGATTAGTCCAGTGACCGGCGTGTCAGAAGATGGCGGCAGATGACCCCACAGACAGGAGACATGACGCCTCTATTTATAGAAGATGTACAGCTATTCGTCCAGCAAAGTCTCATGTACATTCGTTCTGGGCGAGTTGGTTGTGAGAATGGGGCAGAATCGGGGGGGTTTCTTCTGGTCGTAGCTTTACCCCCTTACTGCCCCCACAGTATGAATAAATGGGCGGAGTGGTGGACGTCTGTTTCTGGAGTGCCGTGTAGACACATGACCTCAGAGACAGCCCTCTGGGGGCCAGTTCACCCGTTCATGTGTGTGAATGGAGCCATCCTCGGACACTGTGTACAGAGCCCATCCGACAGGCACTGTACCTGACCCTGCCAGCTTCTGCTGCTCCCTTCACCAGCATTGACAGGAAGGAAGCTGCCATATACAGTACAGTGATGGCGGAATACATGACAGCCGGGTCCCGCCAAAGTGGGAAAAGATTGGGCGTTCAGATGAAGGCCTGGACAAGTAATGTTCTGTGTGAACCTGTGTTCCCACCAAGGACTCATCACTACCAACCATCATCACCACTCCATGGGATCATCACCATCACCAGTCCATGGGATCATCATCACCAGTCCATGGGATGATCATCATCACCCAGTCTATGGGATCATCATCACCAGTCTATGGGATCATCACCATCACCAGTCCATGGGATCATCATCATCACACTGTCCATGGGATCATCACCATCATCAGTCTATGGGATTATCATTATCATCCTCATCCTCACCAGTCTATGGGATTATTATGTCCACCCTCCTGTAATACGTTGCTATCAGCACTGACCATTCATACTCTCTTAGCGCTCATTTCTATATTTTATATTCATAAGAACATTCGTCCCAAAGAGATCACAATCAACCTGGGACCATCAACATTCATGGGTTCCCCCATCCTCAGTCGCTGGATTCTCGTACAGAACGAATGTACATGCCGGACCACCAGACTGATAGTTCTGGAGATTCTTTTATAAATAAACCCCAAAGTGTCATCTCCAATACCGTACCCTGCAAGGTTTCCTTATTGGCCATCGGCAGCACGGGAGATTATCCCGGGTTTCCCTTATGCGGCTCTCACTGGGTCCTGCTGGGGCCATCAGATCTCTGGAGTCCATCGACTTCTTCTACAGAATCAAACAAAGATTTATAATTCAGCGGAGATATGGAAAGGACGGGACCGGCTATTCTTCTACAGTGAGAATCATCACTTTTACAGGAAAAATAACAGAGCGTGTCCTCCAACCCCTCCCCCTCCTTATATATACACTATATTTGTCAAAAGTATTGGCCCCGCCCTCCATATCATGTGATTCAGGTGTTCCAATCCCCTCCATATCATGTGATTCAGGCATTCCAATCCCCTCCCAATCATGTGATTCAGGTGTTCCAATCCCCTCCATATCATGTGATTCAGGTTTTCCAATCCCCTCCATATCATGTGATTCAGGTGTTCCAATCCCCTCCCAATCATGTGATTCAGGTGCTCCAATCCCCTCCAATCATGTGATTCAGGTGTTCCAATCCCCTCCCAATCATGTGATTCAGGTGTTCCAATCCCCTCCCAATCATGTGATTCAGGTGTTCCAATCCCCTCCGTATCATGTGATTCAGGTGTTCCAATCCCCTCCATATCATGTGATTCAGGTGTTCCACTCCCCTCTATATCATGTGATTCAGGTGTTCCAATCCCCTCCATCTCATGTGATTCAGGTGTTCCAATCCCCTCCATATCATGTGATTCAGGTGTTCCAATCCCCTCCCAATCATGTGATTCAGGTGTTCCAATCCCCTCCCAATCATGTGATTCAGGTGTTCCAATCCCCTCCATATCATGTGACTCAGGTGTTCCAATCCCCTCCATATCATGTAATTCAGGTGCTCCAATCCCCTCCATATCATGTAATTCAGGTGCTCCAATCCCCTCCATATCATGTGATTCAGGTGCTCTAATCCCCTCCATGGACACAGGTGTATACAATCAAGCCCCTAGGCATGCAGACGGCTTCTACAAACATTGGTGAAAGAATGGGTCGCTCTCAGGAGCTCAGTGGCTCCAAGCGTGGTCCCGTGATAGGTGGCCACCTGGGCAATAAGTCCATCCGTGACATTTCCTGGCTACTAAATATTTCCACGCTCAACTGTTAGTGGGATTATAACAAAGTGGAAGCCACTGGGAACAACAGCCACTCAGCCACCAAGTGGTAGGCCACGTCACATGACAGGGCGGGGGTCAGCGCATGCTGAAGCGCACAGTGCGCAGAAGTCACCAACTGTCTGCAGAGTCAATAGCTAAAGACCTCCAAACTTGGTGTGGCCTTCAGATGAGCCCAACAACAGTGCGTAGAGAGCTTCATGGAATGGGGTTTCCATGGCCGAGCAGCTGCATCCAAGCCTTCCATCACCAAGTGCAATGCAAAGCGTCGGATGCCGTGGTGTAAAGCACGCTGCCATGGACTCTAGAGCCTGCCAACTCACCAAGGCAATGCAAAGCTCAGATGCTGTGGTGAGCATGCCGCCACTGGACTCTAGAGCAGGGGAGACGTGTTCTCTGGAGGGACCAATCACGCTTCTCTGGCCAACAGATGGACATGTCTGGGTTTGGTGGTGGCCAGGAGAACGGTACTTGCCTGACTGCATTGTGCCACGTTTAAAGTTTGGTGGAGGAGGGATTATGGTGGAGGGTTGTTCTTCAGGGGTTGGGCTTGGCCCCCTAGTTCTAGTGAAGGGAACTCTTAAGGCTATATTTTGGACAATTTCATACTCCCAACTTTGTGGGAGGAGTTTGGGGATGGCCCCTTCCTGTTCCAACATGACTGCCCCCCAGTGCACAAAGCAAGGTCCATAAAGACATGGAGGAGCCAGTTTGGGGTGGAGGAACTTGACTGTCCTGCACAGAGTCCTGACCTCAACCCCATAGAACACCTTTGGGATGAATTAGAGCGGAGACTGCGAGCCAGGCCCCCTCCCCCGACATCAGTGCCTGACCTGACAAATGTGCTTCTGGAAGAATGGTCCAACCTTCCATAGACACCCTCCTAAACCTTGTGGGGGGCCTTCCCAGAAGAGTTGAAGCTGTTATAGCTGCAGAGGGCGGGGCCCAACTCAATATTGAACCCTACGGACTAAGACTGGGGGGGGCCATTACAGGTCATGTGTGTGGAAAGGGCGGGGCCAACTCAATATTGAACCCTACGGACTAAGACTGGGGGGCCATTAAAGGTCATGTGCGTGGAAAGGGCGGGGCCAACTCAATATTGAACCCTACGGACTAAGACTGGGAGGCCATTAAAGGTCATGTGCGTGGAAAGGGCGGGGCAACTCAATATTGAACCAACTATATTGAAACCCTACGGAAGACTGGGGGGGCCATTACAGGTCATGTGTGTGGAAAGGGCGGGGCCAACTCAATATTGAACCCTACGGACTAAGACTGGGGGGCCAATAAAGTTCATGTGCGTGGAAAGGGCGGGGCCAACTCAATATTGAACCCTACGGACTAAGACTGGGAGGCCATTAAAGGTCATGTGCGTGGAAAGGGCGGGGCCAACTCAATATTGAACCCTACGGACTAAGACTGGGGGGGGCCATTACAGGTCATGTGTGTGGAAAGGGCGGGGCCAACTCAATATTGAACCCTACGGACTAAGACTGGGGGGCCATTAAAGGTCATGTGTGTGGAAAGGCCGGGCCCCAATACTTGGGGCAATATGGTGTATATCTATCATTACCTTGAACAGAATGATATTTCCATCAATTTGCGGCACGGTGATCACCGCACACGCATGGATGGCAGGGGGAGGGGTCATAAGGAGTAATGGCCAGCTGTCAAAACCCCACCTCCAGTCTGGCCCAAGAACGCGCCTCCAATGGACACAATGACGGGAATCTACAAAGACTAGGGCAGCTGTGCACGGCAACCAATCAGCTTCTATCTTTCATTTTCAAAGCTTAACTGAACAATCTGAAGCTAGAAGCTGATTGGTTGCTCTGCATAGCTGCTCCAGTCTTGGTAGATCCCGCTCATTGCTGATCTGTAGGTTTTGGTGCTCAGCTGGAGGTGTATAGCCCGCCGCTCCCATCGTTCTCCATCTAAATATACACGAAAAGCATCCAATCCATCCAACTACATCACAAATGATACAATACGATTGGAACAATCAGAATCTGCTGTAACCATAGATACCAGACATACACCTGACCTCCGGACATTGGGGGCGTGGTTTACCGACATTACCATGATGGCATCACAAAGCGTCCGTACTCAACGCATTCCGTCACAATACCACTTCCTCGGGGGCGGTGCTTGTGGTTGTCATGGTCTTAATACAAACATGCTGTCATCTGGGCAACTTTATATACAAAAAAGCCCCTCCCCCTTCCATTCACAATTAACCCTTCAATCTCCCAACATCGTTGAATCCCTCCACTGGAAGAAATGTTACAATCAATCTGTATGGCAAAGGCAACTTCCCCCAACTTCATGAAAATATTACCCCGGGTGGGGTGGGGGAGGTCCAAACACCTAAAGCTTCTGGGTCCATCCCATTGTCCGGTCCGGTACTGAGCATTCTGCTTCTGGTGAGAGTACTCTGCTGACCACAGCGGGTCCCTGGCACTCCAGTCCCTCCATTCACTAAGCAACTTGTGTTACGTTCAACGAATGTAAGGCACCCTGTGATTGGAGAAGGGTTGGAAAGAACATCACAATCTCCCCGCCTCCAATCACAGAACACCTTGCCTTCACTGAAAATAATCCAAGATATTTACTGAATGGAGGGGCTGGAGTGCGGGTCACCCGCTGTGGCCTGAGTGCTGTCCCGGGAATCAGACATTCAGCACCGGACGTGTAGTAGAACTGAATATACTGTATGGGGGGGGAGGGGAGGGGTACATGACGCCGCAGTCCAGACACACGGGACACATTCTATTAGCGTGGATGGATTTTAACAGCAAGAAAAATCAGCTTCATACGTCAGAAGAAGCCGGATGACACCCACAAGAGACAGGAAATGAATACACATAAGAGGATCTGCTAGAGAACAATATCACACGTCAGCTCCCTCTAGTGGCCATAATGTTGTATTTCCTGAAATGCCTCAATCTGGAAAATAACCCATTTTGGCCACTAGATGGAGCTGATGATCATAAGAAATACAACATTGTTATTATATATACGGGACGGATACGTATCCATACACCGTCCTCGGTATACGTCTGCAGACATCGTATATATACGGGACGGATACGTATCCATACATCGTCCTCGGTATACGTCTGCAGACATCGTATATATACGGGACAGATACATATCCATACATCGTCCTCGGTATACGTCTGCAGGACATCGTATATATATGGGACAGATACGTATCCATACATCGTCCTCGGTATACGTCTGCAGACATCGTATATATATGGGACAGATACGTATCCATACATCGTCCTCGGTATACGTCTGCAGACATCGTATATATACGGGACAGATACGTATCCATACATCGTCCTCGGTATTACGTCTGCGGACATCGTATATATATACGGGACGGATACGTATCCATACATCGTCCTCGGTATACGTCTGCAGACATCGTATATATACGGGACAGATACGTATCCATACATCGTCCTCGGTATACGTCTGCAGACATGGTATATATATACAGGACAGATACGTATCCATACATCGTCCTCGGTATACGTCTGCAGACATGGTATATATATACAGGACAGATACGTATCCATACATCGTCCTCGGTATAACGTCTGCGACATCGTATATATACGGGACAGATACGTATCCATACATCGTCCTCGGTATACGTCTGCAGACATGGTATATATACGGGACAGATACGTATCCATACATCATCCTCGGTATACGTCTGCAGACATCGTATATATATGGGACAGATACGTATCCATACATCGTCCTCGGTATACGTCTGCAGACATCGTATATATATGGGACAGATACGTATCCATACATCGTCCTCGGTATACGTCTGCAGACATCGTATATATACAGGACAGATACGTATCCATACATCGTCCTCGGTATACGTCTGCGGACATTGCTCGGTGATATGTAGGAATTGATGTGTATGGACATGTCTGGTTGGACAGCTGTGTCTATAGAACAGCGGTTCTCAACCTGGGGGTCGCGACCCCTTTGGGCGGTCGAACGACGCTTCCACAGGGGTCGCCTAAGACCATCGGAAAAACACATATTTCCGATGGTCTTAGGAACCGAGACACCAGCTCCTCGCCCCCGCCGCCGCCACCGCCGTCTCCAGGTGAGGGCGGGATGACATGCCGCCCCTGTCATCTGGACACACCTCGAGATCAATCCTCGCCTGTGATTGGCCGCCGGCACTGTAGCTCAGGAGAGGCACACAGGCGGCCAATCACAAGGAGGTGGAGCTTGGAGAGGAGGAGCCGAGCGGCACCGTGAAGATCGAGCGAGTGAAGAGGAGGAGAGCGGCCGGAGAAGGAAGACATCTGACAGGTAAGTGTCGGTACCATGGGAGAGGGAGGGAGCGAGCGAACCCAGGCTGGAGCAGGGGTCTGCAAGGTAAGTATCATTGGTGTCAGTGGGAATAGTGCCCCATCATTGGTGTCACTAATGCCAATGATGGGGCACTATTCCTCCCACTGACACCAACGATGGGACACTATTCCTCCCCCACTGACACCAACGATGGGGCACTATTCCTCCCCCAAATGACACCAACGATGGGGCACTATTCCTCCCCCACTGACACCAAGGATGATGGGGCACTATTCCTCCCCCCACTGACACCAACGATGGGGCACAATTCCTCCCCCCACTGACACCAAGGATGGGGCACTATTCCTCCCCCCACTGA